GAGGTCACGAAATGAACTTAGTAAGTCAAAACTAGTAGTTTTTTAAATTAATGAAATAACATAAAAATAAAACAGACCAAAGCATGGCACAGTGCAGTTCATGCAGTATTAATTTCTAAAAGAGCTGAGTTAATTATGTATGTACTATCTGTACAAATGCCTATAAACTTCTGTAACATGTTTTCCTTGGTTATGCTCTTAATAGTCTGAAATACTGTTCTAATGGATGTTTACTCACTGGGATGTTTGGTTGACTATTTTTATTTTAAAGAACAACTTTATTTTTTAAAAATGCTTGCTAAAGGAACACTATTCATGAGGCGGTCTTCAAAAAGTCCTGGAAAGTGCATGTTATGGAAAAATTATGCATAGATTTGAAAATTGTTTTGCAACAAAATGAATGTATACTCTAATTCCATTTTCCATGAACCTTTTGAAATCCTCTTGTATGTAATTTTAGAAGAGAAAGCAAAAGCAAATTGCTCAAAAGACTACTTCTGTGTGAACATTGTTAATGTTAGAAGGGCATTACTCTCTTTGCAGAGAGGTATTCTTTATAATACTCAGAGTATTCCTTATAATACTCAGAAAGGTATTTCTATATGTATATGTGCAGCTGCTGGGCTGATACATGAGATAGATGAGCAACATGCAAAGAAGAGAGAAAAAAGAAAAGGTGTAAACTGATATAAAGCAGGCTGGCGTTGAGACAGGAGGGTTTCAGATGAGCTGATCGGCATAAACAAACTGGCAGGCAATCACAGAAGACCAGGTGGGTAGGTCGGTCAGCAGGCAGAGGTGGAACTAAGCAGGCAGGTATAGCTGGCCAAGGGGGTGGTGCAGATGGGCAGGCAGGCAGCATGGGCAGAGACAGGTGAAGATGGAACCAGACAGGTCAGCTGAGATCAAAGCACGGGTTAGGGTAGGTATGTAGAAATGCTTCGGATGGGGTCAGGACTGAGAGATGAACTCTTATTACAGTGGGATCTCTAATTCTTAGTCTTTAATGCATGTTTTACATTTATTATTTATTGTTTATTTGTTGTGATTTTCAAGCTGTGTGGTTTGGGACTTAAACTGCAGTCAGCCATGTGAGAATCCAACGCCTTAACCACCATGCTACCTGCTGGCTCCATTAAATCATTTCTTGCCAGTGGGCACATGTGCTTACCAGAGAGAGTGAGTGAGTGAAAGAGAGAGCACCCTCCGATTAGGTGTGGTCACACTGCAGTCTTTTTCCCTCCATTTGTCCATCCTATCAGGATTTAGGATGTACATACTCCTGTTCCCACCATGTTTTTCAAGTCACAGGGCCAGGAATATATATATATTTTTTTTGCTTTAGGACACGTGCACTTGCCAGAAAGACAGAGACAGAGAGACAGAAAGCGAGAAATCACCCCCCAGGGGGCATGGCCACACTGCAATCCCTTCTCCTCCATTTTCCTCTCGGGATCCTGGGCACACACGCACACATGCCCGGCGTGAGTTTAAGCCGCTGGGTCCGGGACTCAAACTGCAGTCGGCTGCATGGGAGTTTAGCAACATAGCAGTTATACTAACCGCTGGTCCCTTGATTTATCTTAATTCCCTTTTGATTACATCCTTTTTTCCCCCAAATCTCTAACCTGGAATATTTTCCTTTTACCTAAGAGATAACTTTTAGTATTTCCCTTCGTTCAGATCTCTTGGTAACAAGTTTCCTTATTTTCTTATTTGAAAATACCTGTATTTTGTTTTTATGTTAAAATATATTCTTTCTGAATGTTAAATTCTACATCAACAGTTGTTTTCTCTGTACTTTGAATATTTTGTTCCATTGTTTTTTGACTTCCATTGTTTCTTTAGAAAGTCATTTGATTTTTTTTTTTTTAAAGGAAATGTGCTCTTTTTCCACTGGATTCTTTTAAGACTTTAAAAATTGTCTTGGATTTTCAGTGATTTCACTATAATGCATTTTGTATTTTTCTCACTTGCCTTGGTAGCTCTTCAGTCTGCATATTATTTTGTTCATAAATTTCAGCAAACTTCTCATTTGTCAATATTATTTTAGCCCCCTTTTCCTACTACATCTCCAACCATGCTTCCAATAACCTTTTTTTTTTTTTTTTTTAAATTTTTGTCATAAGGTGTATGTGCTTGCTGGAGGAGAGAGACAGAAAGACAGAGAGTGAGTGAGAAATCACCTTCCTTGGGGGATGGCCATACCACAATCCTTTCTCCTCCACTATCCTCTTGGGATTTTTAGCACATGCGTGCGCACACACACACACACACACACACACACACACTCTGTGTGATTTTCAAGATGCTGGGCTCAGAACTCGAACTGTTTAGTCAGTCATGTGAGATCCAGCCCCCTTAACTTCCATGCTATCTGCTGGCCTATGGTAATCTTTTAATTGTATTTTCTGTCTCTTCTCTTTGTTTTTTTATTTTGGAGAGGCTTTTTTTTTTTTTTTTTTTTTTTTGCTATAGGGCACGTGTGCTCTCCAGAAAGACAGAGACTGAGAGATAGAAAGAGAGAAATCACCCCCCAGTGGGGATGGCCACACCACAACCCCTTCTCCTCCTTTCTCTTCTCGGGATCTTGGGCATGGATGCACACGTGCCAGGCATGAGTTCAAGCCACTGGGTCTGGGACTTGAACTGCGATTGACTACATGGGAGTTCAGCAACATAGCCATTATTCCAACTGCTGGTCCCCTGTCTCTGCTCTTCTGATTTATCCATCTGTTTTTCCCCCTCCATGCTTTATTGTAAATATATTCTTCTGATTTTTCTTCTAGTTTTTCTTTAGCTATGTCTATTCTGCCTAGCCCATATACATTCTATTTTTAATTTGAATATTTTATTTTAAATTTTCATATACTCTAGTTTCTGATATTCTCATTATGCAGATACCCTGTGTTTAAACGTTGTCTATTTTTTATTGACTTATTTTCTCATATTTATTTCCTAATTAATATGCTATATATCATATTAACCGGACTTTAATAATTTTGGCTTTACTATGATTTTGTTTTTCCTCTGGAGAAGAGCTATTATTTGATTTTTGGTTTGAGGATAATAATTTGTTGATATTAATTTTGGGTAACACACTTGTCTATCTTTGTTAAAACCTATCTAGTGGTCACTTTAACATTTGTGCATTTGTTGTTTGTAAATTTTGCCTAAATACCGTCAACAAAAGACAAATACATTTCCCTTTTAAACTCTTGTTCATGTTTTTGGAATCCTGTTACAATACTCAAAATTCTTGTGTGCAGTTGTGTGAAGAAATTCGTTAGTGATGAAAGGTTCCTTTAAATGTGTACAATACTACAACTGGTCGTGGCTCTTATAACATTGGTAGCTTACTCAGTAATAAATGTTGAACAGCTGCCTATTGAACAAGGAGGAGGGGGAGAAAGAAAGAAAAGGAAGGAAGGAAGGAAAGAAAGAAGGAAGGGAGAGAGAGAAAGAAAGAGGCAAGGAAGAGTGAAAGGCAGAAGGGCAAATAAAAAGGCAAAGACGGGGACCAACAGGTGGCGTGGTGATTAAGGCACTGGACTCCCACATGGCCCACTGTGGTGTGAGTCCCAGACCTGGCGTCTTGAAAATCACCCCAGGCATGTATATGTACATGTCCAAAATCCTAGGAGGCGAATGGAGGAGAAGGGATTGTGGCATGACCATGGCTCCTGAGGGGTGATTTCTTACTTTCCCTCTCTCTCTGGCAACTGCACCTGCCCTACGGCAAAAACAAACCCCAAAACAAACAAACAAAAAAACCCAAAGCCTTGATTTGTAGCATTTGCCAATTTCTGTGGTGTAATTACTCCCACCGTGGCCAGTTTAGGCTACCAACATAGACACTGAACTCCAACCCTGAGCTGGGAAGAAATGGGCACAATTGGTTAACACTGGCTCTGCCAGTGTGTGTGTGTCTTAACTTATTTCTCATTTGTTGGGGAAAGTCAAGTCCTATAATTGTAAGTATGTTATAGAGCCAGTTAGAATATCTATATAGGGGTACTAGCAGTTAGCGTAATGCCTATGTTGCTGGATTCCCATGTAGTCGACTGTGGTTCATGTCCCAGACCCGGTGGCTTAAACTGATGCCGAGCACATGTGTGTGCATACTGAAGATCCCGAGAGGAGAATGGATGAGAAGGGAATCCAGCATGGCCGTCCCCTTGGGGGATGATTTCTCACTTTCTGTCTCTCTCTGTCTTTCTGGTGAGGCATGTGCTCTATAGCAAAAACTTCTCCAAAAAATAAAGAATATCTATATAGGTATGTTTTAGATATTTTTGAGGACACATTTTTTAATATGTGCATACTGAAGATCCCGAGAGGAGAATGGATGAGAAGGGAATCCAGCATGGCCGTCCCCTTGGGGGATGATTTCTCACTTTCTGTCTCTCTCTGTCTTTCTGGTGAGGCATGTGCTCTATAGCAAAAACTTCTCCAAAAAATAAAGAATATCTATATAGGTATGTTTTAGATATTTTTGAGGACACATTTTTTAATACAGATTTTTTTTCTTTTCTTTTTTTTTTAGTTTTGCTATAGGACACCTGTGCTTGCTGGAGGGTGGTAAGGAGAGTGAGAAAGTGAGAAATCATCCCCCAGGGTGGACGGCCATGCCTCGGTCCCTTCTCTTCCATTCTCCTCTTGGGATTGGGGTGTGCATGCACATGTGACTGTTTTTCAAGCCGTCTGGGACTTGAACCACTCAGTTGGCCATATGGGATCCAGTACCTTAGCCACCAAGCCTCTGGCTGGCCCCTGAAGTTATTTTTAAACTATGTTAAGTTTTCTGACTTAATTATAAGAATGTCTTTTCTCCCTCTTTGCATAAATTTAGTGTGCATCAAGACCCATGGCGCTGTTCACAAGCTGTATGTTTTATAGGAAGGCTTGAATTTAGCCACGGTTTTGGGAAATGCCTGTTATGTGACTTACAATAATTGAACTTGTATGGAATTGAAGGGCGTTTTCTCTTTTTCTTTCAGGCGTTTTTGTTGCCTTCGTGTGAGATTGCTGTAACAAGAAAAGTAGTTCAAGTGTATAGAAAGTGGATCCTCCAGGACAAACCGGTATTCATGGAGGAACCAGATAAAAACGATCTTGCCCCGGAAGACGCGGAAAAGTTAGGATTTTCGGAGACGGATAGCAAGGAGGTACTAGATCATCACTTGTCTTTTGAAGTGAGAGAATACATGTTTTAGCCATGTAGACCGCTCAATTGAGGGTCCTAGCCAATGGGACGCAGGGGACAGATCTCTTCCCCAACCCTGTCTGATGTTCTCGAGTTGCCGAGGTCTGCAGGGCCTGTGTCAGGGAGGCAGCAGCCTCTGTGCGCCATTCCAAGTGGGCTGTCATGTTCCGTCCCTCAGGCTAGGGCCACGTGCACTTACATCCTCCTTAGTCACAGTTACGGGAGAGTTGTTGAATACATCGTATCTTACACATCTGTGTGTGAGGACCGAAAAGACCATTGCCTTTTCCTTGACTTGTTTAAAATGTGGCATTTGGAGAACCAACACTGAGAATGTCTTGGTAGACTTCGGTTTTGCCATGACAGTTGGAAAACCACATTTGAAAGGACTCACCAATAGCTAGTGTTACCTTTTCTACCATGAGCCCCACGGCAGCCCTAAGTGTGTCCTGGAGGGACTGTGCCTGTGTTAGATGAAGCCAGAGGCTGGAAGAACCTGTATGCACAGTGGAACATCTGAAGAAACTGATGTTCTATTTTTATTTCTGGCATCTGACATGCTATTTAGAAATTAATTTAATATATTTAATAATATTCTTTTTTTTTTAATTGCCAAAGGGTGTGTGTGCTCACCAGAGAGAGAGAAAGCTAGAGGGAGGGAGGGAGAGAGAGAGAGCACCCTCAGTAGCACATGGTCATGCTGTTGCAATCCCTTCTCTTCCATTTCTTCATCCTGTCAGCGTTTGGGACACACAGGCAAATGTGCCCAGCATGTTTTTCAAGCCTCCAGAGCTGGGATTCACACTACTGGTTGGCTATGTGGGATCCAGCTCCCTTAGCCACTAGACTAGTAGGCCAGTCCTAAAATGTTTACTATTATTAATCAGAAGTATATTACTTTCAAATATCTATATTATAGTAGTCCCTCCTTATCTGCTGTTTTGCTTTGTGTAGTTTTAGTTACTCATGGTATAGTGCAATAAAATATTTGGAGAGAGAGACCCCACTCATATAACTTACATCACATTATGTTGTTATAATGTTCTGTTTTATGATGAGTTATTATCATTAATCTCTTAGTGTGCCTAATTTAGATGTGAAACTATCATAGGTATGGAGGTATGGGAAAGCATACTAGTGTTCAGTACTAGCAGCGGTTTCAGGCAGCTACTGGGGGTCTTGGAACTTATCACCTGTGGTGGGGGGGTAGTTTAATTCCATTATTTTGATTCTTCAATATTGGTGAAATCACTTTAATAACTAGTCATGAAGTGAAAATGAATAGGTAAGCCAGTGGGATTCACACGTGTTTCAAAGGCCTCTACCCCCTGCTCCCCGAACAGTGGGCAAACACGGCTCTTTCCTTCAGCACACGCTAATAGCTCTCAGCACTATTTAGGTCTCGGAGATACAGAAAATGTTTGCCTTATTTTAGAACCTTTTTTGAATCTTTTTAGGTTTTTGCCGTTAGGCATGTGCACTCACCAGAAGAGAGACAGTGAGAGGGAAAGTGAGAAGTTACCCCAATCCCTGGGGGGAATGGCCACACCACAATCCCTTCTTCTCTGTTCTCCTCCAGGGATTTTGGGCATACACAAACATGCACCCAGTGTGATTTTCAGGCCACCAGGCCCAGGACTGGAACCACAGTCAGCCATGTGGGAGTCTTTAACCACCACTCCACCTGCTGGCCACAGAACCTGTGTTCTTAGTGAATTCTAGTGAGTGTGAGGAACTAAATACGCAAGTGTGTGTTGCCTCCTGTTATTAACAGATTGTTATTTTCTGCAGGCCTCTTCCGAAAGTTCCGGTCACAAGCGATCTTCCAGTTGGGGGCGCACGTACTCTTTCACGAGCGCAATGAGCAGAGGGTGTGTGGTAGAGGAGGATAATACCAGTGTGAAAGCTGGGGCCCAGGCTCTGCTGCAGGTAAGCGGCCCGCCAGGGCTTGGAGACTCCCGGCTGGAGTCATTGTGTTCATTTTGTTTAATGGCATCCAAAGAATGGTGATATTGTCAGCCACCTGTCAGTAAACAGCTCTTAAATCCTTACTCTAAGTATGCTTCCTAATTTCTCATCTACGTTTGCAAAGATTTTCTTGTGGTCAAAGAAGACTTAAGAATTGGTTGCAGTTTTTTGAGAGGAATTATTGTATATGAAATACGAAATAACTAGGATTTAAATCTTAGAATGCTCTTCCGGATATATAGTTAAAGTTACCCCAATCCCTGGGGGGAATGGCCACACCACAATCCCTTCTTCTCTGTTCTCCTCCAGGGATTTTGGGCATACACAAACATGCACCCAGTGTGATTTTCAGGCCACCAGGCCCAGGACTGGAACCACAGTCAGCCATGTGGGAGTCTTTAACCACCACTCCACCTGCTGGCCACAGAACCTGTGTTCTTAGTGAATTCTAGTGAGTGTGAGGAACTAAATACGCAAGTGTGTGTTGCCTCCTGTTATTAACAGATTGTTATTTTCTGCAGGCCTCTTCCGAAAGTTCCGGTCACAAGCGATCTTCCAGTTGGGGGCGCACGTACTCTTTCACGAGCGCAATGAGCAGAGGGTGTGTGGTAGAGGAGGATAATACCAGTGTGAAAGCTGGGGCCCAGGCTCTGCTGCAGGTAAGCGGCCCGCCAGGGCTTGGAGACTCCCGGCTGGAGTCATTGTGTTCATTTTGTTTAATGGCATCCAAAGAATGGTGATATTGTCAGCCACCTGTCAGTAAACAGCTCTTAAATCCTTACTCTAAGTATGCTTCCTAATTTCTCATCTACGTTTGCAAAGATTTTCTTGTGGTCAAAGAAGACTTAAGAATTGGTTGCAGTTTTTTGAGAGGAATTATTGTATATGAAATACGAAATAACTAGGATTTAAATCTTAGAATGCTCTTCCGGATATATAGTTACACAGATTCTCAATTTCCAACACAAACTGGGGGATTATACAATCTTACAAATAATATTCCTCTTAAAAAGTGCCTATGTTTGTGAACAACAATAATTTAGTAGATTTAGGTATTTGTCTGAATAAATATATGAAATAGAGTGGATACCACTTGGGCACATTGGAAAAAGCAACTTTAGCTCATCACTTAACCTTCTAGATCTCAGGATTTTATCTCAAAAACAAGGAGTGGGTGATTATCTCTCAGGTTCCCTCCAACTTGAAGTTTGTTAGGAGTGTCAGTGACAATACCAGGACTCTCTACTCGCCTGTTCTCTGATCTGCACCTTCCAGCCTCAGACAAATTTCTAGCCATGACTAGTTAGGCCTCCTACACGGAGGCCAGCATGGAGCCCGGGGAAAGTGTGAGAATGGCATATGTGCTCCTCGGGCACCTACTCGGGCACCATGGTGCTGTTTCTTTCGTCTGTCTCTTGATAGGGTTCATTGTCATGGTCTCCTTTTGGTTCTCAAACAAATTAGTAGTTTAACATATCATATTCATAAATTTTCTCATATTTTCATTGGATAATTTTTAAAAATTAAGATGATTTTACTTGTACAGCTTTAGAGAACTTTGGAGTGGCTCATTAATAGGATTTGGACCATCAGTGGGGTGCTTGAAGGAGTCCCTGCCCTTTGTCCCTCATAGCTCCTCTCTCTAGGTGGACTGCCATTGTCATGAGGCCGGTGATCTCCCTGGGTTCAGAAGAGTGCTTTGTGTTGACCGAAAGGATGAGTTACACCCACCTGGATGAATCAAGGGGAAAAAATATCCTATTCATGATAGCTGTCTAGGCTTAAAGAAGTATGTGGCTTGGATTTAAGTAGTTGTTTTTGCTGTCATTGTAGCCGTTTCCTTGGTGTTTTACTTGGATCCATAGGAAAGAGGGGCCAAATGAAGGTTTGATAAGATGATACTCTTCTACAGTTGATTTTGACAAGTAAAATTTGGTCATTTGTAAATTTTAAAAGTTTTTTTTTCAAGTTTATGTGTTTATTTCTTTATTTGAGAGGAAGAAAGAAAGGTGCGCATTCTCAACAGGGTGTTCATGCTGCACCCTCCCAGCCGCAGCCAGCCAGAATCACAGGCTTGTGTGCCTGATGTGTGTGCAGGGAGACCTGGGGAGGAGAACCCAGGACCTTCCATGTGGCTTCAGCATGTGGAATGTTGCATTACACCTGCACCACTGTGGCTGGCCCGTTTGTTTAGTTTTATAAATAATACTAATGCTTAATAAGCATGCATGCAACTGGCATTTTGAAATTTTATAAAAATGTAGAAGTCTAATATATGAAGACTCCTTACTTGGGAATGTGCAGAATTGTTTAATTCAAATTCAAAAAGCCAAATACGTCATTTAAAAGGATCTCTATTGCAACAGATCACCTGTGGTACTTCTGTAAAAACATAGTCACTGAAACTACTGCACTAAGACTTCCATAATTAATCAAAAAGTTAATTTGTTTCCTTCTTCCTTATTCTTAAGTCTAGTAATCCTATGATTGGCTATTGGGTGGTTGGAAAAGTCATGACGCATTTTCACATAGAAAAAATATGTCATGACTTTTTCAACAACCCAGTAGTTTCATGAGTCTCCCTGGGAAACTGAAGCAATATACTTCTTTTTTCAAGCTTTTTCTATAGGTCATGTACACTCACCAGTGACAGAGAGAGAGAAAGTGAGAAATCAGTCCCCAGAGGAAATGGCCACACCACAGTCCCTCTCCTCCATTCTCCTCTTGAGATTTTGGGCACCCACATACACACATCTGGCATGATTTTCAAGCTGCTAGGTCCTGGACTCCAACCTTGCAGTCAGCCATGTGGGATCCAGCTGCCTTAACCTCCGTGTCATCTGCTGACCCAAGGGACTACATATCTTTTTTAATCTTGAACAAGATAATCTTAAAAAGCCGTCAGCATTTTCGTTCACTTACTTGACTTTTGTGTATATCAGTTTTAACTTGGATCATTTTGTGCATTGATTTTGAGATGTCTCTATTGAACTTAATCCACAAACGAGCCAAAGCAGCTCTATTTCTCCCAAATCCTTTGAGTTTGTGCTGTCGACACAGAGGAGACCCCAGAGGGAATGTGTTGCTGGATAGTGGAGCAGATCCGTCCTCATCACCAGATTGGCAGCTCTGAATATGTGAAGTTGATGGGTTACTAGTGTGGTCTGTGTAATAACAGTTACTTTATTGTGGCGGCCCTACGGAGTAACTTCATCATAGCCGGGCTCGGGATCAGTGCTTCCCACTTTGTGCTGGTGAGATAGGTGTCTGTAGGGTCTGGGGCAGTCTAGCACAGTCTAATTATTATTACTATTTTTTTATCTCAGTTTTTTCTTAAGAATTTGCTTAGATCTTAGATTTTATCACATATTTCTCATACTAAAAAAAGAACATCCCTGGAAGATGTGCGCTGTCAATCACATGCCTGTGTCTATTTCTGTGTACCGGCTTGAAGCTCTCTTATCAGGTGGTCCGGGCCATGCACTTCATGTCCTTCAACATTGAGAACCCCGTGGTTCTGTCTAGACATTGTCTGGTCATAGACCTTCTTTCCTCCACTCCAAAGCTTCTCACTGCAGTACAATGATCCTATCTTTACTCCCCCTTTTCCTTTTTTTTTTTTTTTTAATTAGGCTGTCAAAAAGAAGTCTTCAAAAGCTTTTCTGACTCATACAATTTCTAAGATTGCAATATTAATATGTAATAGTCACCCCCTTCCCCCCGTAAATCACCTTTCAGGTATTTCAGTCTTTAAGTGAATCCAAGGGGTCAACGGAAAAGAACCTGGAGTACACGTTGGTATCACTTGCTGAAGTGAGACGGAAGCAGTGTGGAAATAACTCAAAGCGGATTCATTGCAGAGTGAAGTTATATGATCGCTTTAAGCCAGATGTATCGAGTTATGTGTTTATTTATGTGTTTAACCGTAATTTCTAATGTAACATTTTTGGTTTTAAGGTATTTTTGACCAACGCTGCAAATGTCTTTTTGCTGGAACCATGTGCTGAAGTTCCCATGCTCTTAAAGGAGCAAGTCGATGCTTGTAAAGCCGTTTTGATTATTTTTAGGCGCATGATAATGGAGCTTACAATGAATAAAAAGACTTGGTGAGTTTATTTCAGATTAAATAATGAATATTATACAATGTTTCTGCTTTTCAACCTAATATAAATGTTAATGTTTCCATTTTTAATGCCTTTACAAAGTTACACACAATCTTTCTGTGAATTATGAAGGTTGGCACCTATCTTTTGACAGTCCATTTTTAAAAAAATATTTAATTTTATTCATTCATTTATTTTAATTTGACCAGAGAAAGACAGACACACAGAAAGAAGAAAAGTGAGAAAGCAAGCCACCAGGTCCAGGACTTGAACTGTGGTCAGACATATGGGAGTGTACAGCGCCCTAACCGCCAAGCCACCTGCTGGCCCAATAGTCTATTTGTTTTCACTATTGTTTTTAAAAATGTTCTTGAATTAAGAGTTAGTAATCATATCACTTAAAAGGAGTTTTTCGTTTGTTTGTTTGTTTTCTGTTTTAAATTGCTATCAAATAGTTTTGTAGAAAAGCATAACTTGTATTTTATAGTATCATTCTTCATAAACCCTAGCAGAGTTCATTAATTGCCTTCAAATGCTATAAACTTATTTTTCTTGTTTCAAATTTGGTATTTTAAATTCATTTAGCAAAACAATTATTTTATTTTATTTTTTTTAGAGAAAGATTTTTTCTGTAGGGCATATGCACTCGCCGGAGAGACAGAGACAGACGGAGAAACATAAAGCAAGAAATCACCCCCTGGGGGGATGGCCACACCACAGCCCCTTTTCCACTCTCTTCTTGGCATCTTGGGCATGCTCTCACATGAGCCTGACGTGAGTGTCAAACTGCCAGATTCAGGACTCAAACCACAGTTGACTACGTGGAAGTCCAACAACGTAATCATTACGCCATCTGCTGGTCCCAAAACAATTATTTTAGATGACAGATTGTCTATGTGAGTCAAATAGTGTAGTCAAAAAAACATGGCTGTCAAAAATATAGCAACCTCGGGAACCAGCAGTTAGTGTAATGGCTATGTCGCTGGACTCCCACGTGGTCGATCGCAGTTCGAGTCCTGGACCCGGTGGCTTAAAACTCATGCCGGGTGCGTGTGCGTGCATGCCCAAGATCCTGAGAGGAGAATAGAGGAGAAGGGATTGCGGTGTGACCATCTCCCCTGGGGGGTGATTTCTTGCTTTCTGTCTCTATGTCTCTCTCTGTCTGTCTGGCGAGCGCACGCGCCCTATAGTGAAAATCTCTCCAAATAAAGAAAAAAGGCAAAAAAATATATATATACACATAGCAGCCTCATTAAAAATACATAGTTTTGGGACCAGCAGTTAGCATAATGGCTATGTCGCTGGACTCCCACGTGGTCGATCGCAGTTCGAGTCCTGGACCCGGTGGCTTAAACTCACGCCGGGCGCGTGTGCGTGCGTGCCCAAGATCCCGAGAGGAGAACAGAGGAGAAGGGATTGCGGCGTGACCATCCCCCCTGGGGGGTGATTTCTCACTTTCTGTCTCTCTGTCTCTCTCTGTCTGTCTGGCGAGCGCACACACCCTATAGCAAAAAACTCTCAAAAAAAAAAAATACAATTTTCCCCCTTCATCATCATTTTTGTTTGGCATTTGTGTTTTTAATATCCTCAGTAGTAAACAGTGTGTTAGATTTTATTTCCATGCCTCTTTCATAATGAATACCATCCCATCATTCTGTCTTATGAGGGGTTTTCAGTGGTTCTCAGCAAAAAGCCTCCGCCTCACTGCCCTTCTCTCTTCTTGTATGGAAAGGCGGCATCTCGGTCCTGCCTTCAAAATGCCTAAAGGCTGTTCTTTGCTTGTTCCTCCCACTTGCCACTACCCTGGTGCAAGCAGGCCAGCCCCACTGCCCACTCGGATGTGGTCTGCATCCCCACACGTGGCCCTCTGCCTCAGCTCCCAGCCCACCGAGGCCACTGCAGGCCCATGCTGGTGCCTCCCTTCCTTCTGCAAATCCCCAGAGGTCCCTGTCACTGTGTCTGTCTGCTGGGTGTCCTCTGATTCTGCAGTTGTCGAGAAACCTTAGAAACAGGACAGGCCTGAGCTGACAGGGCCTGAGGGCCACCATGTCCAGTCTTTCCTTTCAAAGATGAAGGAAGGTGGGCCCAGAGGAACCCTGTCCTGTAGAAAGTTCACAAATACAAAAGCCACAATGATCAAAATGATGATTTTAAGATGTAAATTCCAATGTCATCTTTGCCAGACCTTTAAACTTAACATTATTTGCAAAGTTAAGCAACTGTTAAATCTGAAAGCACAACAGTGATACCATTATGATTCATAGGAAGTCAAATGCCACATCAGTAATATTGAAATTAATGAGAAATGCTAGTATGTTTTCAACTGAAATGTTTGCTCCTCAGTACTACAGTTGTACCAACATTAGTTTTCATATTTTTTTCCTTTGAAAACTTTAAATTCTGTATACCACTGTATTGGTAGTATTTTGATATTTATTTTTAAGGTTTTTTTTTTTTTTTGCTTCTGATAGAGAAAGCAGGGCCTACATGGGGTCCCCGTGCCATGATCCCCTCCCGTCCTCAGCCACTGGATCACAGACACATGTGCCCAGCAATTATGGGATGTCTTAGCACACCCCAGAACCTTCCCGTGTGACCCTGCATCGTGGAGCACTGCATTGCTGCTGTGCCACAGGGGCTGGTGCCACATGTTTTAGATAACTTTCCTTTTTTGTAAAAATTCTAGGAAACAAAATTAAGATATTATGCTCTGTTCTTAGCAACTCAGAGATATCCAGACAGAAGTACTAAAATAAATACAGAAATAGATGAAAGTACTTGCCAAAAACCAGTCAGGAGAGCATAGGCAGGAGCATGACCTGCTTCCCTAACCGATTTCCTTGTATTTAAGTACCAGGTGGTCCCGTTTCCATCCCTCCTCCTCTCCTCCTTTCCCTCCCTTTCCCTCCTGCCTCCTTTCCTTCCACGCAGCATATCAGCACCGAGCTCCTACTGGGAGGAGGTAGTGGTGAATTAGATAGACAGGCTCATGAGTTTCGGTCTCCGTGGGACTGAGAGGCTCCATAACAGAAGGATTTCCGAGAGGGGTAATGCTAAGAACACTGAAGGTGGTGAAGGGCACAGAGTCAGCTGTGGAGGGGGAGGAAAGCCTTTCTGTGCAGCTCCCTGAGTGAGTGGAGAGAGGAACCATGGGGAAGGAGGCCTGAGGGGAGAGCATTCCCAGGAGAACGGGCAGCAGATGCAAAAGCCCTGATGGGGAGAAGGCAGACAAAAGTGATGTGTTCTAGGAAGGAATGATGAGAGGGAAGAGTGCGAGGGGAGGAGTCAGGGGCTAGGCCAGGGCCAGGCTGCACGGAGCCTTGCAGGCTGCACGGAGCCTTGCAGGCTGCAGGAGGGACCCGGTGTGTGTGTGTGTGTGTGTGTGTGTGTGTGTAGGAGTGTGGCGTAATCCAAGTCATGCTTCCAGAGCTGCTCCCTCTGGCTGCCAGGTGGAGAACAGATGGTGCCGGGAGCAGAGTCTGTGGCTGGTGGTGGCCGAGACCAACGCCATAGCCAGAGAGGTGCTGAAAGAGCTCCAGAAATAGTGAATACTGATGTGCGAAGGAGTGGGACACTGCCTATGTGAGGATGGGGAGATACAAGAAATAATAAAGACATCACACCCACACTCCTGTGTCAGCACAAGGATTGCTCACACGCCTAATTCACGTGCTCAAGCAGAAGTGTGTCAGGCTTTCTCAGCATTTTCCTTTGCGGAAGAATGATGAAAAGTCAGTATTCCCTGAAATAGTAAGGAATACTCTACACTCAAGGCTGGAAGCTTGTCAGTTTGTGTGTCTTCCTTCTGTTAAAAAAAGGTTCTTCCCGACTGTAGATAGATTTTCCACTCTCATTTTCTTCCAGAAGACTCCACATGGCAGTTCCGTGCTCTCAGGCTTCCATAGGTTCAGGAAGGGAAAGAACGTTGGCTCTGTGAGCCATTGCACCAGACAGGCGCCCTGCTCATAGCAGCGCCGTCCCCGAGGCTGTGCTAGGAGCTCCTGGTGTCTCTTGCTCTCATCGCGTTCTCTGATGGGTGCGTCACTACCTGCGGAAGGGCCATTTGCTGCTGTCTTCAGCATCATATAGCATGAGCAGCACTGGTGACACTGGGCACTGCCCTCCCCGCCATGTGACAGAGGCCTGGGTACCCAAAGCATGGTGAGCGACAGGGTGTCCCCAGTTCTCCATGCACGTGTGTGCTTTAACAAGACTCGGTAACCCTCCCTCCTCTGTGCTCTGGAACCCATAGGCAGTCTATAGGAAAAAGAAAACAGGTGGGATAAGGTGCACTGACACTGTGCCAACAAGCGACCTGGGGCCCAAAGTCAAATGGCACCAACTACAGACAGGGCAGGGAGTCACCAGAGGTCAGCGAGATTCAGCACCTTGTATTGTTGAGAGGAGATGCTGTCCTGATACGCAGAGACAAGAGCTGTGAAAGGAACTGTGCTTTAGGGGTTCATTTTCTGACCTGGGCTAGATTGCTTGGTCCCAGCCTCAGTTTTTAATTTCTCTTGTTAAGTTTCTTTCTTTATTTCTCCCATGAAAGAGAGAGAGGCAGGTAGTCCAGCAGGGTGTTCCTGTCTCGGCCTCAGCCCGCCCCTGTACACACACACTTGCACGCGCAGGGAGGACCTGGGATGCAGAGCCAGGACCTTCCACTCCTGGGGTCCAATCGCATTACCGCTGCATTACCACTTGGCTCCCATTCCCGATGTTGTCACTACAGAGGCCAGCGAGAAGTTGTGAAGATGAATGAATTGTATCTAAAACCTCAAAGGGACCGAAGTGATTCTCCTAGAGAACAAACGTTCCTTCCTTGTATATAAAAGATATTAAGTTCTAAGTTCCCAGGAATCTCGGGAAAGAAAAAGTGAGCAGACCTTTTGATATAATTTAGCTATAAAAAAGAAACATGCCCTTTGGCTGTTACCAAAGACTTAGGTGTGATAAGCAGCTGTGCTGTCTCTAGTGTATAGTACTCTGGAAAGACCTTTCCCATAAAGTCCCCTTCTACTAGAGTCTGTGACATGCTGGCACAGTGTGACCAAGATGTCATGGCTGCAGTCTCGATTGTGCCCCAAGTGCAGCGCCAGGAACGTCCAGGTACACACACCGTGTTGCAAGTGTCCAGTAACACCCTTTCCAGCCCACCTGCCCAGCATTTGGTCATGCTGCAGTGCCAACTGCCATGTCCCCGGAACACAGACCAGAAAGTCAGTTTCGTCTTTATCACAAAGACAGATAAGGAGACCTTGCAGGTTAAGTAAATAATGGGTGGGAAACCGAACAGTGCAGCTAAGTTAAATAAGCACAGCTGTTCACAGAGTGCCCTGGAGGTGCTGGCACAGTTGGGAAAAAGTCTCTCCTCCCCTGCCAAGGGCAGAAAATCAGGCTGGTGGTATCCATTTAATCCTGCCCATTGGCATGGACGCGGGAGGCTTGTTCTCAGGACTGCGACACGAGGTAGCTTATTTTGATAAAATATGCTGCTCGTTATGTAGGTGGCATTCCGCTTTTAATACCTGAAATACATTCAGCTTTTAATACTTCCAAGTAATATGTGATTACCAATGTTGCTGAATTCTTAAGAGAATTTCTCATACCTATAAATTACAGTGCTTTGGAGATGCGATTATTAATCTGAGCTTTTCTTTTGGGTGGCCCAGGGAGCAGATGTTGCAAATACTGCTCAGGATAACAGAAGCCGTCATGCAGAAGCCAAAGGATAAACAAATAAAGGACTTGTTTGCCCAGAGCTTGGCAGGGTTACTGTTTAGGGTAAGTCATTTTTATTAAAACACTGCAAATGCAAGAAATGAATCAGATTTTATAGCAAATTGTGTTAATTGTTGACAATTTTAAGAGTAATGTTAAATTAACTTTAAATTTCTAGAAATCGAATTAGAAATTATCTTCTTAGATTTGTCCTGAAGATCAGCATCCATTCTTTAAAATTAGTGCTGGACTTTGAGACTTTCCTACCTCTCTGCCACCCACTTCCTCTTTTGATTTTTTTGAGAATGGTAGCAATTTGGAAGATCACAAGAGCTAAGGGTGTTGGCGGGCAGCCAGGTAGATTTGGAGAGGTAAAGAATGATAAGAAGTATGGCAAAAACATCAGGGTGTTGAGTGATTGTCTTTATTTAATTTACTCTTTTAGGGTTTTGCTATAGGGTGTGCACTCACTGAGACAAAGACAGGGAAAGTAAGAAATCATCCCCCGGGGTAGGGCAGGGGCGGGGGGGATGGCTATTCTGCAGTCCCTTTTCCTCCATTCTCTCTGTGGGATTTTGGGCACACATGCACACATGCCCTGCATGATTTTCAAGCTGCTGGATCTGGGACTTGATCCATGATTAGCCATGTGGAAGTCCAGCACCTTAACCACTATATCACTTGCTGGCTCCAAGTGCTGTCTTTAAAGACACAGGTCTAAGTGAGATTACCTAGGGAGGGAATATGGGTCATAGAGAGAAGAGGGTCACCTCCGTGGTTTATGGAAGAAAGGGAGCTAGCTATTGGGTGGCTGGGGAAGTCATGACGCAGTTTTGCAGAAGAAAACAGAAAAATATATCATGACTTTCCCGATGACCTAGTAGAAGAGCTGCTGAGTAAGAGTGGTTAGTGAGCCAAGAAGAAAACCAACAGTGTGTCCTAGAGACCCGGAGGGAAGGAGAGTGTTGGATAAAAAGAGAGCAGCTGGTTAACCACTGGTTTTCACAGTAGAGATGATTGAGGGGGATGAGACCCACTTAGAGTGGACAGAGCAGGAAATGAGAGCCAGGAGGTAGATGTAGCAAGCAGAGACAAGGCTTTGCAGAGCTCTCGATGTGGAAGGAGGGAGGAAGAGGTGAGGCAGCTGGAGTGGGTGGTGTGTCTGTAAGTGAGACGTGGGGGAATGGTGCTAGGACGTGTTTGCTCCCCAGTAGAGGTGGTCCATGAGGAGGACAGGGTGGTTAGGGGAGAGAGGAGAGCTGCAGCAGTGGTGACCTGGACACTCCTGCAGTGCCACAGAGTGCCTAGGAGACACCCTTGCTCCTTGGCACATCACATGAGCAGGCTGATTCTGGTGAACCACCCTGGAGTGGAAGTGTTGGACATGGGGCTGCAGCCTGCTGTGGCACTGCCAATGTTCATGAGGTGCAGAGAGTTTGCAGAGCATTGCGAAACACTGAAAAGACTCAGGAAAAACATGACCATCTACACAAACAAAGGCACTAGTACAGTGTGTGGTTCTGACTTTGAATAATCCGACAGGAAAGCATTGCAGGTCATGAGCTGGAAGTGAGGGGGTCCGGAGCTGATGTTCCTGCCCTCAGTTGCCTGATGGTGTTTTTGGAGGGCATGTAGGTGAAGGTGATAGTAAGAAGTTAATTTTTAAAGCTAAATATTCTTATTATAACACGAGAGCTCTACCATTTATATCATTATTATTTTTAATGAGAAAGAGAAGTATAGGAGGCACACGTGCACGCACGCTCACACACAGGTATTTTTGGTGAGATCTTTCTGGTGCACTTCTCTGCTCACGTCTCCAGGTGGCTAGGATCACAGGCATGCACCACTGCCTCTGGCCTGTCAGGGTTGGTCTGGGACATGAACCCAGGCCTCCCTTGTGGCCTCAGCCTTGAGCAACCATGCCCTACCACTGCACCACCATGACTGGGCCCATATTAATTCTTAGCAGTTTAATAGATCAGATGATTTTGGCTTGATGAAAAATGCACGAGAGGCTGTAGAAATGACTGGCACCTACTCATTACCTCCTGAATGGCTGTCACTTCCTCTGATGGCTGGCCTCCTTAGTAGATTGTGGTCCTGCCTATGCTTTTGCATGTGTTGCCTGAGGGCAGCCAGATCACTGCCCCCCTGCTGACTGACCTTATGGACACTGCTACCCTCCCTCTCTGGGGAGTGTCTCTTTCGGCACCTCCTGAGCTCCCAGTCCTGAGCCTGAGCTACACGTGTGCGCAGACCGAAGCCAATCTCAGGCTGGTGGGTGCTCGGGCCTCTTTTCTGACCAGTTGCCTGGCCCCATATCTGCTGTATGCGTTGGAAGTAGAGAGTTACAGAATTAAGCAAGAATCTACCCTGGAGTGGTGTTTTTTGTTGTTTGGTTTTGTTTTTTTTTGTTTTTTTTTTGAGAGATTTTCACTGTAGGGCGCGTGCGCTCGCCAGACAGACAGAGAGAGACATAGAGACAGAAAGCGAGAAATCACCCCCCAGGGGGGATGGTCACACCGCAATCCCTTCTCCTCCATTCTCCTCTCAGGATCTTGGGCACGCACGCACACGCGCCCGGCGTGAGTTTTAAGCCACCGGGTCCGGGACATGAACCGCGGTCGACTACGTGGGAGTCCAGCGACATAGCCATTACGCTAACTGCTGGTTCCCTGGTTTTGGTTTTTGAAAAACAAAAAACCCTGCCAGTAGTAGAGGAATCTTGTCAGGTGAGCCCACGGTTGTTAGGGTGTTGCCGTCGTTACCACCTTGGCAGCAGCTGGGCTGAGAAGGATGCTTCAATTAAGAACTGACCTTAAAATAGGGAAGGGGGCATTAGTGCTGTGGAGTTAAGACGGGTTCTGGGTTGTGATCCCAGCTGTGCCACTTCCTGGTTGTGTGGCCCTGAGCATAACGTCACCTGTCCGAGTCCCTGCTCTAATCTGTCACAATAGGAGAGGATGCCTTTCTACCCTGCAGGACTATCGTAAGAATTAGAGCAGATTCACTTGGAATTTAAAAACATCTGCTGGGACCAGCAGTTTGCGTAATGGCTATGTTGCTGAACTCCCATGTAGTAGACCACAGGTGAGTCCCGGGCCCCGTGGCTTGAACTCACACCGGGTACGTGTGTGTGCATGCCTAAGATCTCGAGAGGAGAATGGAGAAGGGATTGTGGTGTGACCATCCCCCCGGGGGGGTGATTTCTCGCTTTCTGTCTCTCTGTCTCTTTCTATGGTGAGCACATGCGCCCTAAAGCAAAAACCTCTCCAAAACAAAAACAAAAACAAACAAAAAAATAACATCTGCTCACCTCCTTATGTGAGATCCAAGGGGCGAGAAAAAGGTCTGGCCAAGTCAGGCAAGCTATCAAGTGGGTATTGTCTTAGTCCCAGGCTACCCTTAAAACATGCTAATTACTACTCACTGGTATTTATTTATTTATGTAGACTGTGGCCAGATACTTGTTTTTTGTTTTGTTTTGTTTTGTTTTTCAATTTGCTATAGATCACATGTGCTCCCTAGAGACAGACAGAAAGAAAGAGGGAAAGGAAGAAATCACCCCCCAGAGGGATGGCCATGCCACAATCCCTTCTCCTCCATTCTCGGGATTTTGGGTACACACATACCGGCACCCAGTGTGATTTTTTTCAAACCATCAGGTCCAGAACTCGAACTGTGGGACCCAGCCACCTTAATGACCGCACCATCTCCTGGCCTCAGATACCAGATTTTTGAAAGAATTTGATTAATAAGGTTGTTGTCGGGGACAGGGAATTTTAACTCCAACTCAACTGCATTTTACCATGAGCTCTGGGCAGGTGTGGTCAGTTGTGATATATGATAAAGTTCCTGTACATTTGCGATATTTGCTAAGATGAATTTTGTAAACTGCAAGAAGTCATTCTGTCCTTGTTTTATAATTAGTCAATAAAATGAAGTCAATGCAAGATTGCCACTTTCAGGGAATCTCACTACACCAAGACATCTGGTTTTCTCCCCGAGGCGAGTTCTACAGCCACATGCGAGCCTGGGACCGAGTGACATTACCAGTTTCTACCTTCTCCTTTTATGCTGCCAAGACTGTATTTATGTATCTAATATTTATTATACACACACATGCACACACGCACACGATGGTGTGCCACAAACTCATTTGGAAAACAGCTGTACAAAAGTGAGTAGACAGAAGGTGGCATTTTAATCATAGTGAAAATATGTAATGAAGAACCAGTAATATCGAGTTATTGGAAAGGTCATGATGCATTTTTGCATAGAAAAACAGAAAAAAATGTCATGACTTTCCTGGCAACCAAGTAATAAATAATACCTTTTTTGTGTTGCTCTTAATTTAAAAAAAAATGCATGCATGTTAATATCAGATATTAAATATGAGTGTTTAAGATCTTATTTTGGATGTATGTCACTATTTTAGTTTCACTTTGACATTTTTATCTCTTTAAAAAGTGTAGTGAAATTTAACTGAGGGACTAGCAAATGGCATAATGATTACATCACTGTACCCACATAGTCAGCCATGGTTTGAGTCCTGGACCCAGTGGCTTAAAACAGACCAGGTGTGTGTGTGTGTGTGTGTGTGTGTGCCCAAAATCCTGAGAGGAGAATGGAGGAGAAGGAATTGTGATGGCCATCCCCCTGGGTATTGATTTCTTGCTTTCTCTCTCTCTGTCTTTCTGGAGAGTCTATAGCAAAAATCTCTCTTAAAAAAAAAAAAAAGGTGAATTGAAACATAGAATAGATTTATTGCAAAAATTAAATAAGATATTTGAAGTGGTCAGAACTGGTTTGCCTAATTACAGGCTAATTTTTTTTTTTTTTAAAGAGTTTTCTTGCTACAGGGAATGTGTGCTTGCTGGAAGGATAGAATGAGAAAGTGAGAAATTACCCCCCAGGGGGAATGGCCATGCTGCAATCCCTTCTCCTCCATTTTCCTCTTGGAATCTTGGGTACACATGCACACACATGCCCAGGATGAATTTAAGTCACTGGGTATAGGACTCGAACCGTCGACTGTGTGGGAGCCAATGATGTAACCATTATGCCATCTGCTGGTCCCTAGACTAATTTTTATTTCTCAGAGTTTATCTGTGTCCATGTTAAACAAAATGTTTGTTTGTTTGTTTTTTATCTATGCCTAATTTAGGGGGGAAAAAAAGCGAATTCACCTCTATCTCAAATATGATACAGCTCTTCACAACTGTGGACACCTGTGTGCATTTGAATTGAGCATAGGGGGTCTCCTTTAGTGGGTTCTGTTTCTTCCGAAGTCTGCAGTGAGCGCATCTGCTGAAACCCTGGAGGAGCTTGAGGGTTGGAGGTTTATACATAGAGGAAGAGGTTTGAGGTAGCCAGGGTGGAGAGTGAAAAGAGCTGTCTCAGGAAATGATGAAGCTATTATACAGAGGCAGAGGCACCTCCCTTGTTTCAGCCTTTGCCAGCCACAGACACTAGCATGGTATTGAGCCAGTAAAGCTGACCATAATGATATCTAATTTCACAGTAGTTCAAATATCAATTCCAGTTGTGAAATTAAGAGGAAAACAACATTCAAAGGTAATTATTATTCAGTATTTTACTTTAGTATAAGTAATTTTAAGGCCAGCAGATGGCATAGCAGTTATGTTGCTGGACTCCCACATGGTCGACCATGGTTCAAATCCCAGACCCGGTGGCTTGAAACTCATGCTGGGCGCATGTGCATGTATGCCCAAAATTCCAAAAGGAGAATGGAGGAGAAGGGATTGCAGCATGGCCATTCTGCCCTAGGGGGTGATTTCTTACTCTCTCTCTCTCTCTCTCTCTCTATGTCTGTCTCTCTTTCTCTCTCTCTCTCTGGCACATACTCTATGGCAAAATAAGAAACTTGAAAAAAATATCGCACACCTTCCCAGTGAAGATGATCAGACTCTCTTGTTGGCTGCTTGCCTTTAGACACTCATTGTGGCTTGGATCCGAGCGAACCTCTGTGTGTATATCTCTCGGGAGCTCTGGGATGACTTTCTTGGTGTGCTGTCCTCCCTCACGGAATGGGAGGAGCTCATAACCGAGTGGGCCAACATCATGGACTCTCTGACAGCCGTGCTTGCCAGGACCGTTTATGGAGTCGAGATGACAAACCTACCTCTGGATAAATTAAGTGAACAGAAGGAGAAGAAACAACGAGGCAAAGGTATTTCCACTGTTACGGGGTAATACCACGGGGTCTGGGACTGGGGAGTGGTGGGCATTTACACATTTAAACAGTTAATGCATGAAATTTTATAATGCACTGAACTTGCCACATAATGTCTTTCATGGTGGCATTGAATGTCCTTAAATGATCCTCTGCCCCTTTATTGAAGATCATAAATTTCTGAAGAGGCTGTGGAAGAAGGAAGATGAAAGAGAAGTGTAATCCTTATCCAAAATGCTTGGGACAAGAAGTGTTTTGGATTTCGGATTTGTTCAGATTTTAGAATATTTTCATTTATGTAAAATGAGATAACTTGGGGATAGGACCTAAGTCTAAACATGAAATTCTTTATTATGTTAATTTTATAGAGGGTACGTGTGCTTGCTGGAGAAAGAGAGAGAGATAAGGCACCCCCCATGGGACATGATTATGCTGCAATCCTTTCTTCATTTTTCCTCTTTTCAGGATTTTGGGCACATGCATACATGCACCTGCTATAGCGTTTTTCAAGTCTCTGGGTCTGGGACTCAAATCACACAGTCAGCTATGTGTGACCCAGCTGCCTTAACCACCATGCCATCAACTGGTCTATGGAATTCTTTTATATTTCATATACATCTTAGATGCATAGTCTGAAGATAATTTTATACAATATTTTTACATGGCAGTGTTTTTACTGCAATATAAATTCCATGTGACATCAGTGTGGAATTTTCCACTGGGATATCATATTAGTACTCTGAAAGTTTTGCATTTTGGAGTGTTTCTTACTTTGGATTTTGGGTTATGGAATGCTCAACTGTAGTAGTAGTAGTACTAGAAGTAGTAGTAGTGATTAATAATAGTAACAAGAATAGTAATTGCTAGTGCTTTGTGCACTTTTTCTCTCTTTGCCCTCACAGTTACCCTATGAAGTACACACTGTTAACTCCAAATTGAGGAGAAAGAGACTGAAATACAGAGACTTTACAGTGAGTGACTCATTCAGGGTCACATAGCTAAGTGGTAAAGTCTGGAATCAAAGCCAGACAAACCTAACTCAAAATGCCACATGATTAAAATGCAGGTGTTCTACTGACCCTCTAGAAAACTTGTAGAGAAATTCTGAATGCTTTAGATAAAAGCCATTTTGATTTAGTTGTGTTTCCAGGTGACAATTGTTTTGAGGCCTAGTCGCAAATGAAAGTGATGTCTTACAGTAGCAAATGGTGGTGGTTTCTATTGGGAAGGACAATTTGACACGCCTCTGTCTTTATTGCTGTAATTAAGGTCTGTGACATGGTCTTTGGATTAATTCATTTATGTTCCAACTTATTCTGTAAAGATTTGAGGGAACTTTTAGAAATGCATATAATGCAGTAGATCAAATACAAAAGGAAATAGGGGCGAGATGAGTGGCAGCAGGTGGGGAGCTGCAGGTGGGGAGCTGCAGGTGTGGTTAAAATGCATGCCTTAGCCTGATGGGAAGGGGGTGGTAATTTGGGTTTGACTTTGGTCTTCACAGGGTTAGCTCAAATGGAGAATCAGAAAGTATGCAAGCTAAAAATAAGCCATTTACTTAGGAAGTACATAGCTTTTCTTGTCCCTAAGCCCGGGGAGGCATTTCTCTTTCAAGCCTCGTGAATGTACATATTGCTTGTGGAAGACTATAGTCTCTTTGGTGGCCTTAATATAGACTCTATCAGTTAGCTTTGCCGTGTGACAAATCATCCCCAAATTTAATGACTAAAAATAACAATTTATCGGGACCAGTAGATGGCGTAATGGTTACATCACTGGACTCCATGTTATCGACCATAGTTCGAGTCCCAGACCTGATAGCTTAAAACTCATGCTGGGCACATATGCTTGCATGCTCAGAATCCCAAGAGGAGAATGGAGGGGAAGGGATTGTGGCATGACTATCCCCCTGGGGGGTGATATCTCGCTTTTGGTCTCTTTCTTTTTATGTCTCTCTAACAAGCACATGCTCTCTGAAAAAAAAAAAAAAGATGATTCTGTTCATGATTTTATGAGTACCCAGTTTGGGTACTTAGCTGGTCAATTCTTCTGCTGGATTCACTCCTGTGTTGGCAGTCAGCTAGACGGCAGTGGTCACCTAGGCAGCTCTCTCCTTGGGGTCAGCTGGCTGCCAGCCTGAGCACTGGGGTGACTGGGCCACATGTTGCACCCATCACCCAGCAGGCTAGGTCAGCCTTGTCTATGCCCTTGTCTTGTCCTTGTCCATGTCCATGTCCTTGGCTTAGTGTCCAAGAGCAGCAAAATGGAAAGCTCGAATTCCAAAGTGCATTTCAAGTCTATGCTTGTTCTACCTTGCTACCAAAGTAGATCATGATAAAACCCAGAGAGTCAGTGTGGGAGAGGACAGTAGAGGGTGCGGATACTGGGAGGTGTGAACTGCAAACAGGGACTTTTAGATGACTGAAACAGGACTTTCTAGATTTCGGATATGTGAACAACTGTGCTGCAGTGCAAGGAAGCAGACCTAATTCTTAACAAGTCACTTTGGCGACTGCCAAATGATACATAGGCCATTCACTGGGCAGTACAGGGTATGGGATGAATATGAGTGGATCCACTCTTTTCAAATCTTCCTCTTTGTCAGGCTGTGTTCTGGATTCTCAGAAAGGAACAACTGTCGGGAGATCCTTTTCTCTCAGCTGGCGGAGCCACCCTGATGTGAGCGAACCGATGCGGTTCCGTAGTGCCACCACGTCGGGAGCACCAGGAGTGGAGAAGGCAAGGAGCATCGTGCGCCAGAAAGCAACCGGTAAGTGTTTATTCCTGTGTTTCCCCGAGCCTAGTTGTTTTCGAAAATGGATTTACGGGAATGAAACGTTTGAAAATTCCACTCAGAATTTAATTGCTCGACCTTTCGTTAAAAGAAACTTCTGTACATCTTTTTAACTTTATGTTCCGGTTACTTTTCAGATCATAGTTCTGATATTTATTTTTAAATCCTCTATTGCAAAAAAGAACTAGAGGTATTAATGAGTGAGATGTACGTGCAAAATGTAGAAAACAGATTTTATTTGAACTTTGGAGAAAATAGATTTTACTAAATACAGTTCATTGCAGTGTTGTCACTTTAACCAATATTAATCTTAAGAGAGTGTAACAGCCTGTCCTGGTGAAGAAAGGAGAATGATGTACTTAGTTTTAGGACCAGATGGAGACATTTTAACTTTTGGCTTCTTTGGGAAAACTGACATTTTCATGCCTGTAGATGTCCTTGTGACATGTTTGAATTAACAAGAGCTTGAGCTGGAACCCCCAGTTAATTGGACTTCTTTGTGACACTTTACCCTTAAACAAAAAGAAACATCTTTTAAAAGGAAACTTGTATCCAGAATTTAATAAGAACAAATAAAGCCCTCTCTTCCCTAGTGACTTTGAGATTGTAATTTAAGTCTAAAACAAGTTTACCTCAGTTCTTGTCACTTTTCTCATCAATAATCATTTTTCTCATGCAATTCTAACTGATATTTAGAAAATCACAAGATCCTCTGATCATGAGACAAAGATTCACTTTAAAGTCCGTGTGTTCTACAGTGGTTAGTGAAGGCTCAATACAGGTGGTGTAGAACCCTGTAGGTGTTTTTATGAACATACGCTAACCATCTCGGGCGCCTGTTAGCGCATTTGTTGGTAATTACCACGTTACTCACATGCACCTCCTATTCGGCTTCTTCCTGCTCTTGTCCATTCTCTGTCCTGAGCTGAAACCCAGTTTCTGACAACATGCCACTTTTCAGGATGCTCATTCACTGCTGTCCTCATTTCAGTCACTGGATCCTTGAAAGAAAGGGATGAGAACAGAAATCTGTGAAGAGGTGGCATCCTGCCGTAGCTTCGTGATTTCCTGCTCTCTCTCCTGTCCCTGAGTCGTCATTATAATGAAAGTGATCATTCAGAACACTTGCTAAATTTTATTCTCACATTTTGTTTGTTTTATTTATTTTTTTAGGTTTTTGCCATAGATGTGTCCGCTCACCAGAGAGAGACAGAGATGAAGGAAAGTGAGAGCCACCCTCCCCCCACCCCCACAGGGGGATGGCCACACCAGTCTCTTCTCCATTATCCTCTCAGGATTTGGGGCATGTACACATATGTGCCCAGCATGATTTTCAAGCCACTGGGTCCCAGGACTTGAACTGTGATCAGCCATGTGGGAGTCCAGTGCCCACCACACCACCCTTACTCTCACATTTTAACGAGCATCAAATTAGTGTACATTGCATGTATCATATGCTGCTTCTTGGCCAGAGCACAGCCATAGAAGAAATTACATCTTATTTTTCAGCATGTGTTTAACACCAATAACATAATGTGGTAGAGACACTCACATGTCTTATAAAATACTCAGTGCAATTATACCAGAAAGCTTATGTTTGCCAGTGTTTCAGGTGTCTAAGGAACCTTGTAAACCATGGTTTTACAAATACAAGGACTTTCAGAAAATTGTGCATTGTCAGGGTATATACTTAAAAATTTACCAAAAGCCTGCCTTTGGTACGATTAATTACATTTTTAAAATTTGGAATCATTACTTTTGAAAGTGAATGAATATGAGAACTATTGAGGTGAATGGTTCTGTTATCTTCATGTCATGTACACACCTGTGTGGTACTTAGTATGACGGAGTCTTCCCGAAGTTCATGGGAAGTTCCTATTATGCAAAACTATGCATGGCTTTCTATTATTTTTGTACTAAAATAAACTGATACCTTACTTCTGTTTTTAAAAACTTTTCAAGTTCCCGTGTATTTCCTATGTATTTCAGTTTTAAAAATTATAAAATGTTATATTTTTATTACATATAAAACAAGTCTTTGAAGATTTATTATATCATGCTATTTTATAAAATTAATCTACTTAGGCTAAAGATTAGTGGTTTTACTCAGTTTTATTAAGTTTATGTCCTATAATAATTAATATTTTCTTTTAAAAAGGCCCCAAATATTTTCATAATAGAGTTTGATTTGTGGAGAGAGTACCTTTCTATGAGAGAAGAGCAGCTTACGGAGTTAGATTTTGCCATGTTAACAGTACCATGCTTATTAATGGAAAATGCTTATTATTTGAAAAATAATTTCCCCCTAATCCCAGTAAGAGAATAGTTGAAGATCACTATCAATATATAATGATTTGCCCCGCAGATTTACTTAGGTAAGTGAAACACCAATGATGGTGGCACGAGGGTATAAAACAAGCGATTGCAGGGTAGAGAAGTGGCGACTAGTTTAACAGGAACTGTGCTCGTTTATAAATAAAGAGACCTGGGAAGAAGAGTCTTAAAGAATTAGAAAGCAGGACCACCAGATGGCATAATAGTTATATAATTGGACTCCCACATAGTCAACCATGATGTGAGTCCCACACCTGGGACTTAAAAATCTCACTCCAGGCGTATGTGTGTGCACCCAAGATCCCCAAAAAAAATGGAGGAAAAGGGATTGCGGCATGGCCATTCCCCCTGGTGGTGTGTGTGGGGGTGCTTTCTCGCTTTCTGTCTCTCTGTCTCTCCAGTGAACATATGCACCCTATAGCAAAAATCTCTCTTAAAAAAAAAAAGGAATTAGAAAGGAAATTATGTCCCCTGAGTATGAATGATTGTAAAGAGTTTAGATGTCTAAAATGAGAGGGTGAGCAAAGCAAGTCTTAATTAATTTTCATACCTGACATCCCATACTCTAGTATTTCTAAAATATCTAGTGATCAATTAGGAAAAAATGCATAATCATCTGGTTTATAAAAGGAAAACTTTTAAAAAGAGTATTCTTGTGAAAAGTCACTGACATTGAAAGATGAACAAATCTTTTAGGAAATTTGAAGTAGGTCAGTCTGACCTTTACATGGAAGTGGTTTCATTGTGTGTGAGCTTACACCTTTGTGAACTAGACACTGGCCACATCCCTGATAGTCCTCTTACTGGGGATTCCAGTAGGCAGAGAATGGGGGGTATAGACAGTCAAATAAGTTTGATTTACTCTTTGCAAATGCATCTCTGTTATCTGTAGCTCTATTCCACTCCTGTTAAACAAATCTCACAAAAATAACAAAACAGCAATGAAACTTCTGTTTTTGCTGTAAGGATAAAACTGATTTTTACTAATTGTGGTTGTGCATACGATACATATTCTCCATCTATGTCTGTTCATTTTCTCAATTGTTCATCTGACTAGCCGTGTGTAGCAAACTTGAGAACATCATAAAGTTGACACTAAGAAAGCGTTCTGAGCATGTCAGTGTAAGAAAGCGTGGAGTTAGTAAGCATGACATGTGATGTAAAACAATGGAGTTTATGGAGTTTCTACCTTTCTTCCTAATGTCAAATCTTTTCATGTTCAACTTGATTTTGGTGTGTTCTCGAGGTTTTAGGATATTCGATTTACTGAATGATTTGCTTTGAATACAGTCAGCTCTCAGTAAACCAATTTCTGAATTATTTGTAATTTATAGAAGAATTTAAATCTTAGGACAGATTTTCCCTCTCTCACTATGGTCTTTGTGTGGGTGTCCTTTAGGAAGGGAAAACGGATCATAATGAATCCCTAGATAAACAACCCAAATGTGAATCTGATACACCGCAAGAACAAAAAGGAGAGGCTAGACATAGAAAACTTTCCCAAATAAAATGGATTAATTGCGGGTTGTCCCTCCCCGTGCCATCAGAATGACTGAAAGTTGGCTGTATTTAGACTGTGATTAAATACTGTGCTCTGTATTGACTTCCTTGAAAGTTTAAAATGACCTCCTTTAAATGTTTCAAGAGAGCCCAGAAAAATAATAAGAAGAAAGAAGCGAAAGGTCCTGCTGTTCTTCTGACGTAACTGTTACTTTATCTCTCCCGGAAGCTAAGCGCAGCCAGTCTATCAGCAACTGTGTGCACCTTTCTGAGGCTTTGCCCGCCACTAAAAGCATCCCGCTCCTCCTCCACACCGCGAGCGCTCTCTTACCTGGTCTCTCTTACTCCTCTTGCTCTCGCAGGCTGTCAGGTACTGTAATGCTGTCTCATGTGTCCACCCCTGCCCTGGGGCTTCTCCCACCTGCCTCTGGGCCTCGCTTCCTTTGTCGATGTCCCCCCATCACAGGAGTGCCTGGCCACACCCTCATGTGAAATTCCAGTGAATCGTGATCATTGTTGCGATGATGTAATCCGATGGTTAGTAGCAATTATATAATCAAGGAGGGTTTCTGTGATCCTACTGGTCTTTAAGTTCACAACTAAGGAGGGTAGAAGGGCTTTTTGGCCCCCAGTTTTTTGTTTGTTTTATGGTTTTTGCCATAGGGCATGTGCGGCTGGAGACAGAGACAGTCAGTGAGAGGGAAAGTGAGAAATCTCCTGACAGGTAGGATGACCACACCATGATCCCTTCTCCTTCATTTTCCACCTGACACTTTGAGCACTTACACATACGCACCTGGTATGATTTTCAAGCTTCTGGGTCTGGGACTCAGACCGCAGAAGCTTGACCCTTAGCCACCTTGCCACCTGCTGGTCTCAGCCCATTGTTGTTAATAGCGGGAAATGTGGTCTAGCCTTAGTGTGTCTTCTGTAGAGTACCTATGGAAAGTAAGGGAGTTGGCAAGGTCAGCAGGTGGCATGGTGGTTGAGGTGCTGGATTCCCACATGGCCAGCCATGGTTTGAGTCCCAGACTCGGTGGCTTGCTTTCTCGCTCTCCCTACCTCTCTCTCTGTCTCTCTCTGGTGAGCACATGTGCCCTATAGCAAATTTAAAAATAACCATAATAATAAATAAAATTAGA